CGAAAACTATAATACATAGAATGACTCCAAAATATGCATATGAAAGCTGAATGTTTGGGGAATCGAACAAGTATAGATACATTCCTGTGTTCTTATCCATATTGCTGTAATGCGCGTTCCTTTTATGAAAGGGGAGGCGCCAAATGATTACATACTTTTGACGGAGGCGTAGTAACTTCAAGTATGGAAACCACTGCAGTATATAATCATGATACCAAAGGTAGATTTAAATATCCATGGAAACAATGTAACTATGAACAGATTTTGTTGGACGAATGTTTTTAATACATTAACGCATTTTGAAACATCGTGATTTGTTTATAAAAGTACCAATTGTTTTAGAAACAAAACAATAGTAATTATCAATGACAATTGCAATATTTGAGCGACGATACATCATTAGGCGCACGCAAATATCGTTAATAATGTTTTTCTTTTTTTTTACCAGAATGTGACAGAAACAATTAGCGAGTGATTTTGTTAAATTGAATGGATGCGTTTTCTTCGTCGAATGCTGCTGCTGTACTGGCACTCTCCGAGTTTATATGTTCTTATCAACAATAATTACCAATTGCGACACATCATTCATCCAACTCACATCTATTTTGTAGCATGACGAGTTAAATTCTTTCGCTTTTATCAGAGTCGTCGCGGATCACCGCCAACGTCCACTCTCGACCAATTTCTTTGCCCAAACACTAGGTGCGTGTTAACTTCAATTAAAACAAAAGCCCTGACAACGCTTCTTAAACAATTGAAGGAAAATCACTAGATTTATGAACGAAACAAAATAGATCAAAATATTGATTTTCATACATTTGTTATTAAAAAAAAAAAGCAATTTGATTGTCTGTAATAAATATATAAATGTGAATTTATACATAATAAATTAGATAATATTACTTGTATAATTAATTGACGAGTGAGATTAGAAATTATGGGTACATCTCTATATACAAATTAACATCTAAATATATATAATATTTGATTGAATTTGCAGTTTACGAAATGTATTAATAGGGAAATTGTATATGATTGATCTGTAAGAAGCGACAATATTTACAATTTGATAATCGCGAATTTATGAATTTTTGATAGCATCATTGAATACGCAATTTATAGATAGATGAACACCAGTGGAGTCTCGTTATCGGGAAGACGAAGGAGAATCGAAAATATCGCCGAGTAATTGCTAAATGTGCGAAACAGTTACTTGCAACTTTTTCGATGGTCCGAAAACGAAGAGCCAGATAACAAATCATGTATGTTTTGTTTTATTTTCCCCCGCGACTTGTCTTGTTTTGATTTAGTTTAGTTGGTTTCATATACACTTCGCTAATTGCACAATTAAATATATGTGTTATCATGTTTTGGGCCCTCAAAAAACAAAATCGAGCCACTGAGCCAAGTCTACTACCACTATAAATTCGAAGATCGGACGAGGCATCTGCACAAAACGGTCCAGACCTTTCTGGACTTAACAACAACAACTCTTAGATTTGTAAGTGAAAAGATGATCTCGTTGCCGGCTCTAATCATCGCAGCGGTAGCGCTCTTCGTAATCTACTTGATCAAAATCAATCGGGATAGACCGGAAAACTTTCCACCAGGTAAAGAAAATCGATTAAGTAAATTGGATCAAGAATTAATGAATTGATACGTTCAGGTCCTCCGAAGTTGCCAGTTTATGGAAGCTACTGGTACGTGCTGAAGGAGAATTTCCAGTTCGCGCACAGAGCTTTGGATGGTTTAGCTAAAAAATACAAGACGGACATCCTCGGTTTCTATTTGGGAGACACTCCGGCCGTCTGCACGTTCTCCACTGAACTGAACAAAGAGCTCCTCACCAAAGACGAGTTCTACGGAAAAGCGGAATCCATCCTGACTCAAGCTCGCGGCAACGGGAAGCGCATCGGCATCTTCTTCGTGGACGGCATGTACTGGCAGGATCAGAGGCGTTTCACCCTTCGCCATCTGAGGGATTACGGTTTCGGTCGCAGGTCGGAGAACTTCGAGCAGTTCACCATCGATCAGATCCAACACATGATGGACTTGCTGTTGAGCGATCCAAGACCCGAAGATAAGGTTTGTTTCAAGAAGATGTTTACTAGAGCAATAGATTATTCAATTACGCATTCTCATAACGTGAAATATTTCGCAACAACATCAATTAATGAATTTATTGTATTTATATAGGATATCTGCAGGGCCAAGGGGGAAGTGCTGATGCCCGACATCGTTTACGGTTACTTCAACAACTTGATGTGGTATCTCTTGTCCGGAAGGTCGCACGACCTGAAGACCTGCAGAGATTTAAGCCGCGCCGCGCTCGGTTTCCAGAGGGCCGGAGATGTCCTCGGCGGAGCCATCAGCATCACTCCGTGGTTGAGGCATATCGCTCCGACTTTCTTCGGTTACACTTCGGCTGTTGAGGACAACAGAAAGATGTACGTCTATTGCGAGGTATGAATAACTATAATTGCAATGATAGATGAGAGTAATTATGATCACTTTCGTGTGTTTGCAGGAAATTGTTAAAGAGCATATGGCCACTTACGACGCTGATCACCACAGGGACTTCATCGACGATTACATATTTGAGATCAACAAACTTGAGTCGCAGGGCATCTACAATACATCGTTCAATGGTAAGAAGTTGTCGTGTCCCAGGGTTAAGAAATCCTTGGACACCATGGATTATCTCGTAGTTATGTCTTACAGGATTTTATGAATATTAAATGCAATATTCTTAATTAACTTTATTATACACTTCGGAGTTTTATTGAGAAGTCAACTAAACAATAGTTGATCTCAGGTATTATTAACTAAGAGTTACATTCTCCTCTTAAGTTAGTGTTTATGAAGTAAGTGCTTTTCCTTGGACTCTCCCAAGTAGGACTTTTTCTCAGTTCGACCCCTTAGCTAAGACTTCTTCTCTACTCGGTCCCCTGACTAAGACTAAATTATATAATACGAAAATGTGTTCATTTCAAAAAGGGGTTGCGTGGGAGAAAAAGGTTTGACCTTGTGGAAAACACAAGCGTTTCTTTATCTAAGTTTTATGATCCTGCCCAAATATTTAGGGGCTGCAGAAGGCTGTTAAGTGGTGATGCAATAGACGCAACTATACGATTTAATGTGTAACCGTCTTCGGAATATTCCACAAGTTATTCTAAATAATCACGTACAAGTATCCGTTTGTATATTTGATGGATACATATAGAATAATTAAGAAACTAGAATGTTGATTAATAGTGCATAATAATTAAGAGGAAAGACATGGCCCTAACAAATATACTTATTAGTTATACAATAGATGACAATAAATTGGTCGGACACGACAAAGTGTGTTTTAGTGTTAACAAAACTAAATATTGTGAATTTGCAGTCGAGCAGATGACGTTCATCGTGATGGACTTCATGTTCCCGGCTCCAATCGCTATGGGACACACCACCAATTTCCTCTTCGGTTACCTGGTCAACTACCCCGAGGTGCAGAGGAAAATCCAGGAAGAAGTCGATTTGGTTGTGGGCAGAGGAAGACTCCCTTGCTTGGATGATAGGAAAAAGTAACATATCTGTAATAGATCGATCGATTTGTAAATCAATCCAATTGCAGCATGCATTATACCGAGGCGACGATTCGCGAGATCTTGAGGAAGGAACCGGCCAATCCACTGGGATTGACGAGAACGAGCACCGCCGACACCACCCTCGGCGGATACTTCATCCCCAAGGGAACCGTCGTCATGACGAACGTTCATTCGGCCCATAACGACCCCAAGGTTTGGGGCGATCCGGAGAACTTCCGTCCGGAGCGCTGGATCGAAGCCGATGGAACTTTGACGAAGAAAGATCAAACGTTAGGTTTCGGTGCAGGTAATTTCACACAAAATCAATCAAAAACTAAAAATTCAAATCGATTTTCTTCTTAGGTAAGAGAGTATGCGGCGGCGAGACCTTCGCCAGACACACCATGTTCCTGTTCCTCTCGTGCCTCCTGCAAAACTTCACTTTCCTTCCACCTAAAGGCGAGCAAAAGCCGGATCTCAGCAAACGCATCTTCGGCATCAACATCTCACTCCCGGACTTCTGGATGTACGCAGAGCCGAGAACCTGAAAAACCCTGTATTTTCACATTCCGAAAATACGTGAAGAATTCTGAAAATGTTTTAATTTTTCATTTTATTTATTACCTAAGCTTTGTTACTGCTGTTTATATAAATATTTAAAGAGATTTTGTTACTTTTTTTTTTTGAAATAAAATCCCAGGAAACAATACAATTGCTGCATTCAGTAAATTATCTGTTAAAATTTTTCGGTTGATTGTTAAAGTTCAATTATTTAATCTTCTTTAAAAAAAAAGTAATCATTTGTCGTTTCAAAACACTCATATAAAATTGGATAATTATAATTTCTGTTAATTTTCTGTAAATACAATAATAATACTAATATCTAATTGTATTGTTTCGAGATAACACATATTCTTTTTTTTTATTCCACGCGTCTCCAATTTTCGATCCGCATATAAATCGCGACTTCGCTCGAACATTCTCGTATTCCATCCTGCATGCATAGTGTGGTGCATCGTACTCCTTCCTCTTGCTGCTGCTTCTCCAGCAATGATTCTGTTCGCTCTGCTTTTTATCTTCGCAATCGGTCTGCTGCTCTTTCACATCTACAAAGACAACAGCACCAGACCACCAAACTTCCCACCAGGTAAACATCAATCTTCCATTCTATAAAACCATTCACTTCTTCAGCAAAGAAACAAACACATGCAAAAAAAACAATAATAACAACAAACATAAATGCGTTATCTATTTTAAAGTGTATTTGCGAGTGCATTGTAAAAAGTACATAAGTTCATAATACAATTACTGCATACAATAAAAAATAATATATTATTATAATAATAATCTTATTAGAAGGTTCAATGTTCGAAGGTGCGACCTGATCTCGGGTCAAAAGACATTTCGGTGGCGTCTCTGACGTTCCGTTTTCTATAAATAATTAGAAATATCAATTATCGCATAGTTTGTTTATAAAAAAAAAACCTGAAGTAGTTGCACATGCATGCAAAAACATACTTATTTTTGTTATCAATATCGATTATAGGTATGAAGAAATAATTTAAATTTGTAATATGTTTTAGGTCCGCCGAAGATACCGACGTTCGGTAGTTACTTCTTCATCAAGAAGGAGAACTTCTACCCGCACAAGGCGTTCGTGTCGCTGGGAAAGAAGTACAAGACGGACGTCGTCGGTTTCTACATCGGTCCCTTTCTTGCGGCCACCTGCTACAAGTACGACGTCTTGAAGGAGGTGCTGTCGCGCGAAGAGTTCAGCGGAAGACCGGACGGACCGATCGTGCGAAACAGAGGTCTCGGCAAGAAGTTGGGCATCTTCTTCAGCGACGAGCAATACTGGAAGGATCAACGATGGTTCTCGCTTCGTCACCTGAGGGACTTCGGATTCGGAAGACGCGACGTCAACATCGAGCAGGTCATCACCGACGAAGTGAAGGGGATGATCGAGCTGTGCACGTCGAAGCCGCAACCCAAAGACGCGGTAAGTGGAATCTAGCAAAAGAATTTATTAGAAGTTGTTTAATTGATTGTTTTGCAGGATATGTGCACGCAGCAGGGTATAGTGAAACTTCCAGATTTGTTTTACGGAGCTACGCTGAACTGCGTCCATCACAGCCTCTCCGCGAGACATTTCGACGATTACGCGGAGCTGCGAATGGTCGGACGCGCCGCCGATAAGTTCATGAAGATCATCGACAGCACGGGGTGTTGTATAACCGTCGCCCCCTGGTTACGACATCTCGCGCCCGAATACTTCGGCTGGAACGCGTCCTTCCGCGAGCAAGCGGTCTTGATCAAATTCGCTCGAGTATTCTTACAACGACGCACTGTTAAAAACCAACACTGAACAACGATAATCGTTTTTTTTTTCAGAAAATCGTCAAGGAACACAAGGAAACCTACATCGAAGGTTTCCATCGAGACTTCGTGGATGTTTACCTCTCCGAGATGAACTACCTGAAGACCAACAGGAAAGTCAACACGTCTTTCTCAGGTGAAATTTTCACTTTTCTGCATCGCTCAATGCTTTACATCAGTGGTTCCCAAACTTTTTTGTGTCGTAGACCCCTTGCCATGTTTTTCAGTTTTGGGGGGTCTACCCTGATATTGATTTTTTGTAAATTTATTATTCATATTCATTTATAATTATTAAGATCTTTGCTCAGAGACTGCGCGTATGCTTGTAACAAGATGATACTGGTCTAGTCATCGGCTTGCGAGGAAATTAAACCATCAACGCTTAATTCGTGTTGGAAATCTCTTTTACCTCAAATGGTTCAAGCAATACAAAATGATTCTACAATTTCACTCCCAGTTACAGAAATAGTAAACATTGCTTCTTGTTTAAGCGATAAAGAATTTGCAGTAAACCATCAAGATGTAAGAGAACTAGTGCTCGGGGAAGAAACTTTAGATGAGGAA